TCCCAGTTGTTTGTATCCTGCTGTGTATCTCTTTTGGAATGGCAATGCTTATCTTGTGCCTATGAATGTTAGAAGTGTTTAACTTTGCATTTGTAGAGGGGCTCACAGCTAAGAGTTTGCCTTAGATCTTGGAAGCTTGGGACTTGGACTTTTCAGTGTTGCTGAAACTGGTAGGACTTTGGCAACTCTTAGAGATGGACTAAAATGTCTTTTGCATAAAAAGTCGTGCATCAGTCTTTGGAGGGCCACGGGTAGCATGTCATGATTCTAATGTAAAAGCAATGTACAATTTGTAAAATGTTTAAGCATGTTTGTGTACCTGGAAATTGGTTTAAAAAGTGTATGTCTAGTTGCCAAGTTGACAAGGGGTGGAGTGTGTTAGTTGATACATTGTGTCAACTTGGCTGAATCAGCTCGGCAGCATGGGGCCCTCACCCTGCAGGTGGGCAGGGCCCAGGAATTGAGAAAGGCAGGAAGCTGGCCTGCCTGGTTTCCTGCTGCCCCACCCTGCTTCCGTGGAGAAGTCTCAGTCTTCGAAGGAGCTTGATCTCAGCAGCCGCGCCACTTTGGAGGAGCTCAGATCTTCACTGTGGAGCACTGGTCTTCGCAGTCAGTGCAGAAGGAAGAGAGAGCTCTGATGGATGCCGCTTCAGCTGCTCCTCCTCCTCTGCTCTTCATTGTTTTCTGCTGTGTGAACTGCTGTTGTTTGCCTTGCAGCCAGCAGAATATGGACTGAACCCTCCAGTAACTGTGAGCTAAATAAACCTTTCCTTCCTTCATTTTGAGTGTCCGGTATTTGTCCCAGCAACAAGTAAAAAGTAATTAAGACAATGGTCAAACTGCAAACTTTTAATGTCTTTTGGCTTTACTGTTTGCCACTGATTCTCACTATCAATATGGTGAAAAACAGCCAGTAGGACTCATGCCACAGCCTCAAAGTTAGACTTCCTTGAAATTTCCTCTGCTAGATCAATTAGCCTGCCATCTTTAATTACAGACTCATACAAAGTCTTAAAAATTGAGTAAAACATGCACATTCTTTTCCAGAATGAAACATCTACGACCAGTTTCCAAGAGAGTCCTTATTCCCACCTAAAACCTGGGGAGCCTGAAAGTTCATGCCTATATTCTTATCAGATTTTGGGTCTTCTGAGCTCTGACCAGAATCTTCCATCAATCTCTGTTTATTCTGGTAATAGTATTTAATGGTTTCTGTAGGTGACATCTCCAAACTTTTCCAAGTCCTCCCACAACCAGGTTCTGAAGGAACCCTGTGGGCAGGCGCAGTCACAACAACATCACCACTTCTGGTACCAGTTTTGTGTATTAGTCAGTTTTCCCATTACTGGGAAAAAATATCCATCATCCACAACTTTAAAGGAGGAGAGATTTGTGGTTTTGGGGGATTCAGTTCATGGTAAGCTAGTTTCAAGGCAAAAACAGGATGGTGGAAAGTGATAGAGGAGAAAAGCTGCTCATGTCATGCAGTCAGGAAACAGAAAATAGATGAATCACCAAAACCAAGGATATACCCTTCTAGGTCACAGCCCTTGATGCCTACCTCCTTCAACAACATCACACCTCTGAACACATGAGAGGTTTTTTTTATTATTTTTTTTTTATTTTAAGGAAGGGTCTATTGAGTGTTCAGGGTCTCACTACTAGATCGGACTCATAGTGATCCGTCTGTTTACAGCCTCCCAATAGCTGGGATTACAGGCAAGCACCACCATGCCCCGTCTCAATCACCTTCTCAGTGAGCCCCGCGGGTGGGGCAGGCACGGCAGGCCCAGGGATCGAAACCCCAGCCCCAGTGCACAGGAAACTTTTGAAGGATATTTTAAATCTAAACCATTTCAAGGAGTAAAAGTGTATCTGTAGTACAGTCAAAAATCATTTGGATAGTGTTGGGCCTTCAGGTGGTATCTCTGACCTGAGTTAGATCTACAGCTGCAAGCAGGACTCCATTTGGTGCTATAAATACTTCACTCATAAAATGGAAAAAAAGGCTTCTAAGCACTGGGGAGATAGCTCAGGGATCTAAGCATCTGCCTGGCAAGACCTGCGTTTGATCCCTCATACTGCATGCCATGCCAGCCCTGGAATTCTGGGCACACTGTGCTGACCTCAGAACTGGGTGTGGTGCCACACACCTGTAATCCCAGTGCTTCCCAGTGGAAGCTGAGATAGGATGATTACTATAAGTTTGAACAGCGCAGTGAATCCCCGTATCAAATTTAAAAAATAAATGAAAGCCTTTTGAAGTCCCCTCCACACCAAAATTCAGATAAGACAATGAAAAGTAATGTAAAGATTTAAAAATATAAAGTCAGCAAAGCTTATCACTTTCTTTTTTTTTTCTTATTGAAATATAGAGAATGCTTTCGAAGTGTTTGAAGATGCTCATAATGCCATCTGCATAACACAGCCTATGTTGATGCACAGGCGGACTTCCTCAGATGATTCAACTTTTCTGATGTTTTTCTCCAGTTCTGTTTCAGACACACGAATCTATAGAAAGTCGCTGTCTCTTCTTGGCTGTACCCAAATGAGGAAGATAAAGTTTGAGTCGTTTCTAAGTAGAGACACTGGAGATGAAGAGCATAAGATAGAAGTGCATTGTTTTTTAGCTGAGGATAAAAAAACAAACTTACATAGAGTGGTTATAAGATTGTAAAGTGGTCAGGAAGAACCCAAGAGGGATTTAAACTGAAGGAGTCACAGCAGCCAGAACTCCCAAAGCAAGGGGCCTCTTTTAACTGTAAAATTATCTTTATCTTTTACTGAGTATTATCGATGGTTTAATATTCTGTTGCCATTTAAATGTAATTTAAGCTAGATTTTGCAGAAAAGTTAGATAACATTACCTAAATTATGCCACTCAGATCATAACAATGGAAGAAATGGCTCATTCTAGATCTCTTTAGCAGAGGAAGTTCAAAGTGTTGCTGTTATTTGGGGAAGACATTTCAATTTCTGGCTCTAGGAAGGATAACCTGGGAGAAGAGAAACTTAGACACATAAAGGAGAGAGAGCTTCCCTAAATAATCTTAATAAGGTTCCATGGAAACTGAAAATGATCCTTTATGTCACCTTATGGTCATAAAGTCTCTTCTTTTTTAATTTATATTTTCTCTTAATAGATGGTATTTTTGTGGCCCATAAAAGGAAATCCACCTGCTCTGTGTTTCATGTCCTTGTCAGCATCCGCTGTCTTGACAGAGAACAGGGACCACATCCAACCCTGAAAGATCTCGTTGGCTGCCAGTCAAGCATACAATGCCTTCAATGTTGAGGTGTGGATGCAACATGGACTTAGTTTTCTCAAGTTTCTGCTCCAATAGAAGAGCCATGAAAGTCTTACTCATTTTATTCCAGGGGCTGGTTTTGTAGTTTAGAAACATAGGCTTTGCACACAAGTACAGAGTGCCTCTCTGTGTTGGAGAGTGCAGTAGGGCTGGGAAATAATGCTTTCCCCATACAACTTTGACCTGGGTTGCAACACCCACCTAGGTCAAAGTGAGTTTGCTAGAATTCTGGCTCACTTACTTTCAGCTAATGTGGACAAATACTTCCATAGAAACTAATAATCTAAACCCACACTTATAATTCAAGCTGAGAAAATATGCATTGCAAGGACACCTGGAGGTCTTCTAGGACCTAAACATGTGGGCTGTTTTAGATCAACAATGTAGGGGCCGGGGAGATGGCTCAGTGGAATAAGCACTTCCCTGGCAAGCGCAAGAGCCTGAGTTCAATCCCCAGTTCCACAAAAAAGAATAGATCAACAATGTATTTCAACTCATCAACACCAGTGGTGTGAACTAAGCCATTCAGTCTTCTTGCCCAAGAGTTGACCTATTTGAAATGCGTCTGATTTGGTACTTTAAAATATATGCTTATCTCAATGGAATAATAGTAGCATTGTTTATTGATGCAGGAATTTTCCAATTGTCTAGAAAAATAAAAGTCCAGTGGTTCATAATTGAAATCAAAACCTGGAAGCAAAAGGAAAGGAAGCTTCCAAGTATATGTTGCAAATGGGATATATGCTAGGTGGGCGTGGGGTGGAGAAGCAGTGGAGAATCATGGTGGTTTGTAAATAAACTCATATTTTGATTTGTCAAGAATACACAAAAACTCTTTTTATAGTGAATCTCAAGAATTGCAATCATCCTTTTTCTTTTATTACATCCAGTTCATACATTGGTTTTGGTTTGGCCCTGTCTCATGTCCTAAATCCCCGAGTAGTCAATCCCATGCAAGACAGCATTACTCACCTCTGAGAGTTTATAATCTTCTGTTAGAAAAGCAGTTTATGATGGAAGATACTTGTCATATAACTTCAGGATGACCTATTAGTCTCTCTGAGCTTCACCGATAAAATGGTGAGAAGCCTCTTAGTACATGTCTTGTGTGATGGTGGCATGGGGAGTGAAACAAGCCAGACATGATATAAAGAGCTCGTAATGACATCAGACATATAACGGAGATTCAAAAAATATTGCATGTGATGTAGTAAGCATTATAATTATGCCGTCTGGGAGGTCTGTTCTTCATTGTACCAGCCTGAGACTGCCATAGTTCTAGTAGCAGAGATGAGAGAACTATTTATCTATGTTGATCTGAAGAACTTTGGGGTCCTCTAAACCCAGTAAGCTTGTACTTTCTACAGGAGCTTCCTTGCCTCACTGAATTGCTGATACTCCTCTGCCCTATCTAACCACTTCTGGTTACAGCAGGAGCACTTAACGCCTGGGTTCTCTGACATTGAAAAACTTGCTTCTTTCAGCAAATGGATCAAGATACACACACAAGGTTAAGTGGACAACCGTTTACAGATAGAAGAGACCAGAATAATTCACTTTTTGGCTGTATTTTATTATTTTACTACTGAATAGTAAGTAAATTTCTTGCCTTATGTATGTAGACTTTCTGGGGAAAATTTTCTTTCCTAAAGAAGCTTTGGATGATAACTGGCATTGGACCATCTTTCTCTTAGCACGCGGAGGTGAACGAGAAACTAAGCACTATGGCAGAACAAGATGTGGAAAATGAGCTTCTGGATTATGAGGAAGATGAAGAGCCCCAGGCTCCTGCTGAGAGCACTCCCGCATTACCAAAGAAAGATGTGAAGGGCTCCTATGTCTCCATCCACAGCTCTGGCTTTCGGGACTTCCTGCTGAAGCCAGAGCTCCTGAGGGCCATAGTGGACTGTGGCTTTGAGCATCCCTCAGAGGTTCAGCATGAGTGCATCCCCCAGGCCATCCTGGGCATGGATGTCCTGTGCCAGGCCAAGTCTGGAATGGGCAAGACAGCAGTCTTCGTGCTGGCCACCCTACAGCAAATTGAGCCTGTCAACGGCCAGGTGGCAGTTCTGGTCATGTGTCACACAAGGGAGCTGGCCTTCCAGATCAGCAAGGAATACGAGCGTTTCTCCAAGTACATGCCCAGCATCAAGGTGTCTGTGTTCTTTGGAGGCCTCTCCATCAAGAAGGATGAGGAAGTACTGAAGAGAAACTGTCCTCACGTCGTGGTGGGAACCCCAGGCCGGATCCTGGCACTCGTGAGAAACAGGACCCTCAACCTGAAGAACGTGAAGCACTTTGTGCTTGATGAATGTGACAAGATGCTGGAGCAGCTAGATATGAGGCGGGACGTACAGGAGATCTTCCGCCTGACACCCCATGAGAAGCAGTGCATGATGTTCGGCGCCACTCTGAGCAAGGAGATCCGGCCAGTCTGCAGGAAGTTCATGCAGGATCCCATGGAGGTGTTTGTAGACGATGAGACCAAGCTCACGCTGCACGGCCTGCAGCAGTACTACGTGAAGCTCAAGGACAGTGAGAAGAACCGCAAGCTGTTTGACCTCCTGGATGTATTAGAATTTAACCAGGTGGTGATCTTCGTGAAGTCCGTGCAGCGTTGCATGGCCCTGGCCCAGCTCCTGGTGGAGCAGAACTTCCCGGCCATCGCCATTCACCGTGGCATGGCACAGGAGGAGCGCCTATCACGATACCAGCAGTTCAAGGACTTCCAGAGGCGGATCCTGGTGGCCACTAATCTGTTTGGACGAGGGATGGACATTGAACGCGTCAACATCGTCTTCAACTACGATATGCCCGAAGACTCAGACACTTACCTGCACCGGGTTGCCCATGCAGGTCGCTTTGGTACCAAAGGCCTGGCCATCACTTTTGTGTCTGATGAGAATGATGCCAAAATTCTTAATGATGTTCAAGACCGGTTTGAAGTTAATGTGGCTGAGTTTCCAGAAGAGATCAATATCTCCACATACATTGAACAGAGTCGGTAACCACGTTTCTGGAAGGCCATCGCCATCATGCCCTGCCTGCTTCTCCAGCCATAGACAAGTGTCTTTACTGTTGAAAAGCTGTAGATTTGTGTAACAATACATTTTTATTATGGAAAAAAAAAAAAAAAAGAAGCTTTGGATGTAGGCTGATTACTTATGGCACCAAACCCTTTAAAATAAAAGAGGCCAAAGAGATTAAAAAAGAAACAAACACAAGCCCTATGTGCTTCACCCTGGACATTCTGACTCAGTGGTCTCCAGTGAGGCTTACAGCTTTAATATGTGTGTTCATGTGTAAGTATTTAGGTGAATCTTTATGGAGAATCTTTGGATGCATTGAAAGAGATAGTTAAAACAAGGAGTCAAAGATTTGGCCTAGACCTTTGAACACAGGAAGTAGGAATTGTAATTTGCTATTGTGGAGAATGAGGGAAAGGCTTAATTATAACCAAAAGTGTCACATAGTAGATGCTGGCAAAGATAAGCTTTTACATTATAGTTACCCTACGAATTAGTATAACACTTTCAGAAAGTAATGTGTTAGTATATAGAGCCATTGTAATCTCATATTCTCTGACCTACTAATCCTACTTCTGGCAATCCAACCCAAAATATAAAACAATCTATGGAGTTAAAGATTCATCACAGCACTGATTTGCAATCTTTAATATTCTAAATATATGGATATAGTCAAACACTTAAAATATAAAATGAAATGAAAAAAATCAGGATCTAAACCTCTCCTTATAATCATTAGAAAAGTCTTAGAAAACAAAAAATTCAGAAAAATAGCGAAATTATAACAATTATAGCAGAGAGTGGGATTTGAGTTTTTCTTTTCTTCAGACTTAGGTTTCAAGGTTACCTCACTTCCTGGATCAAAAATAAAGTGATGAAATCAGTTTCCTTTATAATTAATTTTTCCAACTCATATAATGATTCAACTTTTATTCTAAAACGTGTACAAAAGAGGGCCATATTTTTTTATTTTTTTATTTTTTTATGTATTTAGTACAGGGTCTATAGAGTCTTACTACACAGATCAGACTCCTCGTGATCCTACTGTTTTCAGCATCCCATGAGTGGGGATTACAAGCAGGCACCACCATGCCCAGTCTCAGTCACTGTCTCACAGCATAACTCATGCTGGGGATCGAACCCTGGCCCCTGCATCTGCCCAAAGCAGGCGCTTTAAGGTGGGCCATACTTTTTATGGCTTCCTGATCATGAAGCACAACAAAAAATGGAAATAAAATTATAGAAATATGAAGACTTTGGTAACTTTGCCATGAGTACAAGTTAATAGACATATCAACTCTGTTTTAGCTCTGTTTGGAGCTAAGATTTCTCAGAAGGTTATTTAGCATTAACATTTGGAATGAAAATATGAAATGAATTTTTTGGGGAAGGTTCTCATATTTATTAGCTAATAATAAATAATAAATATTTATTATTTTTCTTTCTGTGTTTGAAGCTTATAGTATTCTTGGTGCTTTAGTAGTTTTCTGTTCTTTATTCCTGATCTTTACTTAAAATTTTATTAGAAAAATGTTTAAATGTGCATAAGAAATTGTGCAATCAACCCCATAGAACTGTAACCCAGTTTTAATTTGATTACTACTTACCATGGTTGTTCTTTTTAAAAAAAAACTTACCTCTAACTATATGTTTCTCTTAAGTAATGACATTTAGCTTGTTTTTCCATCAATCTGGTGGGCATGAGATGCTGGGCACCTGCAGGATCACTATGAAGATGAAGTAGTCTAGCAATATCATCAAGCGGGGCTGGAGATTTGGAAGATTTGTCTGAGCCATTAACTTGGAATCAGGTTTTTCCTTGGACACTTCTCCAAAAAGTCAACTATCTCCTTTCCTTACCTCATGGTGTTCTCATGGTTCTGTCTATGGAGCTCAGTACTATGCTAGTTTATATATGCATTGTGGAAGCCTGTGGGTAACATTTTATTCGAATGTTGTTTTATTTTTAAGTACAATTTCTGGCCAACTAATTGTTACATTTAAAAATGTTTTCCTCTGAAAGAGGGCACATCTTTTAAATTATAGCATTGGTTCCAGTTTTAAAAACTGAATTTATATGAATGGGAGCATCAAAGGAGCATATTACATTTCAGGATTTTGTAACAGTTCTATCTTCCGAAAGAAAAGAAAAGGAAAGAGAGAAGGAGAGAGGGAGAGAGGGAGAGAGAGGGAGAGGGAGAGACACAGAGAGATAGAGAGACAGAGAGAGGGAGAGAAGGAGGGAGAGAGGGAGAGAGGGAGAGAGGGAGAGAGACAGAGGGAGAGAGGGAGAGAAGGAGAGAGGGAGAGAAAGAGAGGGAGAGAGAGAGAGAGGGAGGGAGAGAGAGGAAGGGAGGGAGGGAGAGAAAGAGAGGGAGA